TCCTCTGACATTATCACTCCTATGTCCCTCACCTTAATTGTTTGCTCTCTTATGCCATTAGAGTTTTATGTTACGTTTTAGCTTTCATTTCCTCAATTTTTCCCCCATAACAGAGTAACTGAAAGTTGTCCTCGTAGAACATCACATTGTTGTCAATGGTCCACTGGGGAAGAATTTGTTTATGTCCACTTGAAGATTTGTTGTGTCCTCCATATATGACAGGCAAATTCTTTTATCGTCTTCCAAGGATGATACAGTGGTATGATTTATGTCCCTGTCTGTGATGCAGATCTGGATGACATACACAGTCACATAAATCTTCTGCTTGCCTCTTATATTCTTCAAGTTTCATTCCTGTTTGCTTTCTGTCTTCGTATTTGCGTCCTGTTTGCCTTCTGTCTTCGTGTTTGCGTCCTGTTTGCTTTGTCTTCGTATTTGCGTCCTGTTTGCTTTCTGTCTTCGTATTTGCGTCCTGTTTGCCTTCTGTCTTCCAGTTTGCATCCTGTCTTCTCCCTGTTTGCCTCCTGTCTTTCTCCTGTTTGCCTTTGTCTTCCTCTTGGCTTCCTCCTATTTGTCTTCTCACTTCCTACTTTTTCCGGGGTTCTTTCATTCTCTCTTGCCTTCTTCTTCCACTCTCTCCTCTGCATCTTTCTTTCCCACCCCCTCCTTCCTTCCCTCCTTCCCACCCCGTCCATCCTTTCCTCCTTCCCACCCCCTCCATCCTTCCCTCCTTCCCACCCCTCCATCATCTGCCACACAAACACCTCCACCGTACCTATTCTTGATCACTAACATTCTTGCCTCAAACTCGCACCTGAGGGAAGAAGGAAGGGGGCACCTAAGGGTGGAGGGACGTAGGAGACGTGTAGGGAAAGGAGGGAGGGAGGAAGGATACTTAAAGGAAGGAGGGAAGGGACTTGCCAAGCAGGAAGAGAAGTGAAGCCAAGGGTACGAGGAAGAGACACCTAAGGAAGGAATGAAGGAAGACACCTAAGTAAGGAAAGAAGGAAGGAAGGAAGGAAAGAATGCTACATTCGTTGGTTGTGCTGATGGTTACACTGTAGGAAGATCAAGAGTCTTCAAGAGCATCATCATGAGCTGACCAGCTCTTGTTTTAAAGGTTCTTGTTATACACCAGCTCTCTCTCTCTCTATCAACTGTGAAAGATACCTTCCTTCAAGGTAACATGGTTCATGATTCTCTCACTAGGTTCCTACCTTCCTTTAAGGGAACGTCATGGTTCATGGTTCTCTCGCCATGTTCCTACGTTCCTTCAAGGTAACATCATGGTTCATGGTTCTCTCGCCAGGTTCTGTATTCCTCTTCCGCTCGATGCAGTTCTCTGATTTCTATTATGTGTTCCATTGTTTCCTTCTTAAGGTTTTCATTGCATTTCATTTGATCGTCATCTCCATGTCTGCCAAACTGTCAGCAGTACTTGTAACCTAGCCTAAGCCTGGCTACTACAACATCACGCCGTCAGCAGTACTTGTAACCTAGCCTAAGCCTGGCTACTACAACATCACGCCGTCAGCAGTACTTGTAACCAAGCCTAACCCTGGCTACTACAACATCACGCCGTCAGCAGTACTTGTAACCAAGCCTAACCCTGGCTACTACAACATCACGCCGTCAGCAGTACTTGTAACCAAGCCTAACCCTGGCTACTACAACATCACGCCGTCAGCAGTACTTGTAACCTAGCCTAAGCCTGGCTACTACAACATCACGCCGTCAGCAGTACTTGTAACCTAGCCTAAGCCTGGCTACTACAACATCACGCCGTCAGCAGTACTTGTAACCAAGCCTAACCCTGGCTACTAACAACATCACGCCGTCAGCAGTACTTGTAACCAAGCCTAACCCTGGCTACTACAACATCACGCCGTCAGCAGTACTTGTAACCGAGCCTAACCCTGGCTACTAACAACATCACGCCGTCAGCAGTACTTGTAACCTAGCCTAAGCCTGGCTACTACAACATCACGCCGTCAGCAGTACTTGTAACCAAGCCTAACCCTGGCTACTACAACATCACGCCGTCAGCAGTACTTGTAACCAAGCCTAACCCTGGCTACAACAACATCACGCCGTCAGCAGTACTTGTAACCAAGCCTAACCCTGGCTACTACAACATCACGCCGTCAGCAGTACTTGTAACCAAGCCTAACCCTGGCTACAACAACATCACGCCGTCAGCAGTACTTGTAACCAAGCCTAATCCTGGCTACAACAACATCACGCCGTCAGCAGTACTTGTAACCAAGCCTAAGCCTGGCTACTACAACATCACGCCGTCAGCAGTACTTGTAACCAAGCCTAACCCTGGCTACAACAACATCACGCCGTCAGCAGTACTTGTAACCAAGCCTAACCCTGGCTACAACAACATCACGCTGTCAGTAGTACTTGTAACCAAGCCTAACCCTGGCTACAACAACATCACGCCGTCAGCAGTACTTGTAACCAAGCCTAACCCTGGCTACAACAACATCACGCCGTCAGCAGTACTTGTAACCAAGCCTATGCCTGGCTACTACAACATCACGCCGTCAGCAGTACTTGTAACCAAGCCTAACCCTGGCCACTACATCAGTCAGTCTGTTCGTATTACAAGTTGCTCTATAAATGTGCTTATCTACGTCCATGTTATAGTGAGTTATAGATCTACTCAGGCTTTTAATTGCATTCCTATAAGAGTCATTTTCATTATTTACTTCTCTCTTAATATTATTCCCAATACTAGACACAGACACATCAAAGTTATGTTCTACATTTTCCTTCAGGGTACCTTTTTGTTATCAACTTTATCATGAAAGAGTAATCCAACGTGTTATGAAATCCATAACAACTGTACTTAAATTTCTTTATCCAGGATATTTTAGTATTTGTGTCTGGTTTCTCTAATAAGCATGTTGTTATGTGTCATTATATGACTCAAGAGTATTCAGTGATGACATATAATTAGAAATAATCAGAATTAAGCTCAGTGTCGTAAGTTAACTTAAGCGTCATGAGGATGACAGACAATTCAGTTTATAGTGTTGACGCCCAGTTGTTAATTTTTATGCCTAACTCAACATAATTCTTATCGTTCTTAACTCGGGAGGCAGCAACAAGATTATTATTATTATAATCAAGGGGGAAGCGCTAAACCCGGAGGATTATACAGCGCCTGGGGGGGGGGGATGTGGAAGGCATTCCGACTTAATTCGGGGAACTGGAGCACAGATCCAATTCCCTAAATCAGGAGCCTCTCACCAACATCAAGGAACCTTCCTTGAGGGGGCAGCAACAAGAGCAGATGCAGCCCTGCCAGTAGATTACTGCTTAGATTCATTAGTGTATTTAACTTGTGATATATTATTACTAACAGTTAGGCTAGAAATTTCTTCTTGAGCAGTTGGTTTTACAAGTGATTTAAGGAAGGGATTACTAGTGATGAGCTTCTTGGGAGGGACTTGCACGTATGTGATGTTAAGTGAACACGAACTGTATCACTGTTGTCTACAGTGATACAGTTCGTGCACGTTATGAAACTATACAATTGCATGTTTTCACAACCATTTAGATCTTTATGTAGTTTTAGACCAAGTTCAGTGATATCTCAATAATCCTATCACTGATACTTGAGACACCAAGCTTCTCCCTCATATTAATAGAAAAAACTTGGTAGATTTTGGAGAGTTAAGAATAATTCCGAGGGCTTCATTTTACATTAACTCCAAGTGCTGGAGAGAATTTTCCTTAGCTAATATTAACATTAGCACCATAATTAGGGTTGTAGCCAGCCAGAAGTATGGGAGAATTTAACTGTCTTTGCATATCTTACTTAGTTGTGGTGTGGTGGATTTATTGAAGGGTACATCTACACCAAGGTATCTGCAAGATTTAACCTAACTGATATTTTCACCCTGCAAACAGATTGGTGGGACATGTCGTTTGCTTGTCAGAATCGTTGTTTTAGATGAATATATGACGAGTCTGTTACAAATTACTTGAACCTCATCAAGAATGGTTCTCATTTTATGCCCTGTTGTGTAAGGTCATGATGTAGAGAACAGGTGATACTCTGTTTGACAGATATCCTATTATCCAGCAGAGTAGGCTACCACCAACATTCATTTTGGCTAGTTCATGTAGTATTACTGTTCTGTTTGCAATATCAAATGCAGAAGTGTGTGCAGTGAGACATGTGAAATACATTTCTGAGCAAATTTTCCTTTCATGAACCTATAGAGATGAGGGGAAAGTTGGTGTTTGAGTCTGTAGTACAGTCTGTTAAGTATTAAGTACAGTTCTTTCAAAAGTTTTACAAAGACAACTAGTTAAGGAGATCGGTCTAAATGTATCAGGCTGTTGGGGCTTAGGAATAGGCACAATGAGACTATTGGTCCAGGAAGTAGGAAGAACGCCCTCAATGTAACTGAGATTATACAATGCTAACAAAGGTTTATCAGGGACCTGCTTTAGAGTTCTGAGGATATCATAGGATATCATAAGTTATACCATCCTCTCCAGGAGCGGTTGATCCACCTTTATTTAATGCATTATCTAATTCATACTCTGTGAAGAGACAATCACTCTCATCCATATCCTGACTCATAAAATTAATCAGTTTCGGTCTTCCTTCAGAAGTACTCTTTCAAGTTTAATCTAATATGAGATGGGAGATATTCATGTCTGGATGTTTTGGATTAGATATTGATGAGGTCATCTGCTTGATCACGAGGAAAGATATGAACAACATTACCAGTCTTTTTCCTGATTATTTTAGTTATAATTTTCCATGCTAATTAACAAGGAGTAGATCTGTTAGTTGGTAATAAAATTATTTCTCATGGATTTCGAGGCGTGTGTAAAGATTTATAACCATTTTATGGCCTTACGCAGAGTACATGTAATCAAGTGATAGGCTCCTGGCAGAGTACAATGACAATTAAATGGAATGCTTCTCTGAGTTCGAGTATAGTTGGGTTAATATAATGGCGTGTTGCCAGAGATTGGTATCACTGTTATGGAACATTCCATAGGAGATTGTCGATATTTAGTCTTCCTGAATTACTTCATCCTTTAAGTATTAAGTTGTCTTCACCAACATGGTTCAGTAGGACACAAGTAATAATTCATGTGTCCTGGTATTAGAGATTGGAAGATGAGCTGTTCGAGTCTGGTATACACCTCATTACTTCACTTACAATGCTCAACAGTTTATTCTGCTGATGAATTATCTTCATCAAGTTACCCATACACCAGGTAGGATGTTGCAGTTTCCAGCTTATGTTAATGCAGCTTCACATTCTGCACTTCAAAGCATGCTCAGCTTCATCCATTGACTGCAGCTTCCAGCATGCTCAGGTTCCAAGCATGCTTCAGCTTCCAGAATGCGCAGTTCAGCATGCTGCAGCTTCAGCATGCTGCACTTCAGATGTTGCAGCTATCCAGCATGCTGCAGCTTCCAGCATGCTGCAGTTCCAGATGCTGCAGCTTTCCAGCATGCTTCAGCTTCCAGCATGCTGCAGCTTCCAGCATGCTGCAGCTTCCAGCATGCTTGCAGCTTCTCAGCATGCTCAGCTTCCAGCATGCTGCAGCTTCCAGCATGCTGCAGCTTCCAGCATGTTGCAGCTTCCAGCATGCTGCAGTTCCAGCATGCTGCAGCTTCCAGCATGCTGCGCTTCCAGCATGTTGCAGCTTCCAGCATGTTGCAGCTTCCAGCATGCTGCAGTTCAGCATGCTGCAGCTTTCCAGCATGCTAGCAGCTTCCAGCATGCTGCAGCTTCCAGCATGCTGCAGCTTCCAGCATAGCTGCAGCTTCCAGCATGCTGCAGCTTCCAGCATGCTTCAGCTTCCAGCATGCTGCAGCTTCCAGCATTGCTGCAGCTTACTTCAGCATCTGCAGCTTCCAGCATGCTTGCAGCTTCCAGCATGCTGCAGCTTCCAGCATGCTGCAGCTTCCAGCATGCTGCAGCTTCCAGCATGTGCAGCTTCCAGCATGCTGCAGCTTCCAGCATGCTGCAGCTTCCAGCATGCTGCAGCTTCCAGCATGCTGCAGCTTCCAGCATGCTGCAGCTTCCAGCATGCTGCAGCTTCCAGCATGTGCAGCTTCCAGCATGCTGCAGCTTCCAGCATGCTGCAGCTTCCAGCATGCTGCAGCTTCCAGCATGTTGCAGCTTCCAGCATGCTGCAGCTTCCAGCATGCTGCAGCTTCCAGCATGCTGCAGCTTCCAGCATGCTGCAGCTTCCAGCATGCTGCAGCTTCCAGCATGCTGCAGCTTCCAGCATGTCAGTTCCACATGCTGCAGCTTCCAGCATGCTGCAGCTTCCAGCATGCTGCAGCTTCCAGCATGCTGCAGCTTCCAGCATGCTGCAGCTTCCAGCATGCTGCAGCTTCCAGCATGCTGCAGCTTCCAGCATGCTGGCAGCTTCCAGCATGCTGCAGCTTCCAGCATGCTTGCAGCTTCCAGCATGCTGCAGCTTCCAGCATGTGCAGCTTCCAGCATGCCTGCAGCTTCTCTCAGCATGCTGCAGCTTCCAGCATGCTGCAGCTTCCAGCATGCTGCAGCTTCCAGCATGCTGCAGCTTCCAGCATGCTGCAGCTTCCAGCATGCTGCAGCTTCCAGCATGCTCAGCTTCGCATGCTGCAGCTTCCAGCATGCTGCAGCTTCCAGCATGTTGCAGCTTCCAGCATGCTGCAGCTTCCAGCATGCTGCAGCTTCCAGCATGCTGCAGCTTCCAGCATGCTGCAGCTTCCAGCATGCTGCAGCTTCCAGCATGCTGCAGCTTCCAGCATGCTGCAGCTTCCAGCATGCTGCAGCTTCCAGCATGCTGCAGCTTCCAGCATGCTGCAGCTTCCAGCATGCTGCAGCTTCCAGCATGCTGCAGCTTCCAGCATGCTGCAGCTTCCAGCATGCTGCAGCTGCCAGCATGCTGCAGCTTCCAGCATGCTGCAGCTTCCAGCATGCTGCAGCTTCCAGCATGCTGCAGCTGCCAGCATGCTGCAGCTGCCAGCATGCTGCAGCTTCCAGCATGCTGCAGCTTCCAGCATGCTGCAGCTGCCAGCATGCTGCAGCTCCAGCATGCTGCAGCTTCCAGCATGCTGCAGCTTCCAGCATGCTGCAGCTGCCAGCATGCTGCAGCTGCCAGCATGCTGCAGCTGCCAGCATGCTGCAGCTTCCAGCATGCTGCAGCTTCCAGCATGCTGCAGCTGCCAGCATGCTGCAGCTGCCAGCATGCTGCAGCTGCCAGCATGCTGCAGCTTCCAGCATGCTGCAGCTTCCAGCATGCTGCAGCTTCCAGCATGCTGCAGCTTCCAGCATGCTGCAGCTTCCAGCATGCTGCAGCTTCCAGCATGCTGCAGCTTCCAGCATGCTGCAGCTGCCAGCATGCTGCAGCTTCCAGCATGCTGCAGCTTCCAGCATGCTGCAGCTTCCAGCATGCTGCAGCTGCCAGCATGCTGCAGCTGCCAGCATGCTGCAGCTCCAGCATGCTGCAGCTTCCAGCATGCTGCAGCTTCCAGCATGCTGCAGCTCCAGCATGCTGCAGCTTCCAGCATGCTGCAGCTTCCAGCATGCTGCAGCTTCCAGCATGCTGCAGCTTCCAGCATGCTGCAGCTTCCAGCATGCTGCAGCTTCTGGAGTGTGCGCAGTAGAACAAAAATATATTTTGTGTTAAGTTAGGTTACAGACACAATTCCCAACGTCCAGTTTCCAACGCTCTGTGTAAACACACAAACATTATTTTCTTTTGTGTAAGCTATCGTTACATAAAATATGACAAAAAACTTATATTAAAAAACCCACAACACGCCTGGCAACGCGGCGGCTTCACTGTATCAGGAAAACGTTGAAATGTGCACGAGTGTCACTCGTGCGCATGGGTGCACTGGGTTAATAGCCCAGCATGATCCATGCAAAGCCAAGCAGCATGGCTTAATTCCCTGAGGGATGCCACCCACAACAGTCCACTAACTCCCAGCTACCTGTTGAGTGCTACAGCAACAGGTGTAAGGAGACATACCCCCTTACCTCTAGCCTCGCCCTGGCATTGAACCCGGGATATTTCGGTTATGAGAAGAACGGAATGGAAGTGGGTAGCGTGTGTGGGGGGGAAGTGGGTAGTGAGTGGGGAGGAGGAAGTGAGTGAGTTGGGGGTGACGGTCAGTTGTAATGACCTGAGTTGTGAGGGTGACGGTCAGTTGTAATGACCTGAGTTGTGAGGGTGACGGTCAGTTGTAATGACCTGAGTTGTGAGGGTGACGGTCAGTTGTAATGACCTGAGTTGTGAGGGTGACGGTCAGTTGTAATGATCTGAGTTGTGAGGGTGACGGTCAGTTGTAATGATCTGAGTTGTGAGGGTGACGGTCAGTTGTAATGTCCTGAGTTGTGAGGGTGACGGTCAGTTGTAATGTCCTGAGTTGTGAGGGTGACGGTCAGTTGTAATGACCTGAGTTGTGAGGGTGACGGTCAGTTGTAATGACCTGAGTTGTGAGGGTGACGGTCAGTTGTAATGATCTGAGTTGTGAGGGTGACGGTCAGTTGTAATGATCTGAGTTGTGAGGGTGACGGTCAGTTGTAATGTCCTGAGTTGTGAGGGTGACGGTCAGTTGTAATGACCTGAGTTGTGAGGGTGACGGTCAGTTGTAATGACCTGAGTTGTGAGGGTGACGGTCAGTTGTAATGTCATGAGTTGTGAGGGTGACGGTCAGTTGTAATGTCATGAGTTGTGAGGGTGACGGTCAGTTGTAATGTCATGAGTTGTGAGGGTGACGGTCAGTTGTAATGACCTGAGTTGTGAGGGTGACGGTCAGTTGTAATGACCTGAGTTGTGAGGGTGACGGTCAGTTGTAATGTCATGAGTTGTGAGGGTGACGGTCAGTTGTAATGTCATGAGTTGTGAGAGTGACGGTCAGTTGTAATGACCTGAGTTGTGAGGGTGACGGTCAGTTGTAATGACCTGAGTTGTGAGGGTGACGGTCAGTTGTAATGACCTGAGTTGTGAGGGTGACGGTCAGTTGTAATGTCATGAGTTGTGAGGGTGACGGTCAGTTGTAATGTCATAAGTTGTGAGGGTGACGGTCAGCAAAGAGTATTAGTAAACAGAGTGGAATCAGAGGCTGCTACAGTGAAGAGTTGTCTTTCAAGGCACGGTACTCGCCCCACTTCCGTTTCTCATTCTCTTTTCTGACGTAGACAGGGACGTAAACCATAGCACTGCATTGTCTTTTGCAGACGATACTAGAAGTTGTAAGAGTGTGGCACTCATAGAAGACACAGCGATCCTCCAAGCTGATATAAATCAAGTCTTCCAGTGAGCCACTGACAACAGTATGATGTTCAATGAGGACAAATTTTACTTACTATATTACGGAAGGATTGGAAAAATAAAAATAAGTGGAATGATAATGTCAGAAGATCTCACGTTCAAGGAGCACAACAATGTAAGGAAAATGATAGGTTAGATAACAAGAACTTTCATTACAAAAGAGACCAAACCAATAATGATCCTCTTCAAGTCACTCGTTCTCCCTCTAGGCTGGAATATTTACGTGTACTAACGGCTTCCATCAAGGTAGGCAAAATAATTGAACTGGAAAATGTATAGAGAACCTTCATAGCTCGTATAAACTCAGCTACCCACCTAAATTACTGGGAATGCTTGAAGTACCTCGAACTGTACCCCCTTAGAAAGTAGACGAGAAAGATACATCATAATCTACACCTGGAAGCTCTTGGAGGAATTGGTCCCAAACCTACACACCTAAGTCACTACACAGGAACACAAGAGGCTTGGCAGACGGTGCAGGTTACCTCCTGCTAAAAGCAGGAGGTAACCTGCATGAGTACACTGAAGGATAAATCAGGAAGTGTAAAGGGACAACAACTCTTCACCCTTCCTTCATGCATAAGAGGAATTACAAACAGACCCCTGGCTCTATTCAAGACGGAAGTCCATAAATTCCTTGAATGAGTTCCGAGTCTGCCTTGCTGTGGTTAATACGTTGGTCTGTGTATAGAGGGTATCAACAGCCTGATTGACCAAGCCAGCAACCAGGAGGCCTGGTCTGGGACCAAACAGGTG